GGCGCCTAGCTCTCAAGATGATGAAGAAAAAGAAGTTTAAGTTTAAGGTGGACTTCGAGCTGGAGGAGCTCTCCTCGGTGCCCTTCGTCAACGGGGTCCTCTTCTGCAAGATGCGGCTGCTGGACGGCGGCAGCTTCACCGCCGAGTCCTCCAGGTAACGGGTCTCTCGAGCTGCTCTCCCGCGCTCGCACGCTCGCCCGCCGACACGGGCTTGTTGCACGGCCAGCATCCATCCCTTTGCTTGCTTGGCCCCTTTGCTCTGCCGAGCTGCCAGCCCAGTGAGCTCATCGTCCTCCGGGGACGAACCTGAGCTCAGTCGGGGCATCGAGTGCTTCTCAGTGGGTTGGTCTGGTTGGCCTTGACCCAGGCGCTCCTGACTCCAGGTGGCCCCTGATGATGTCTGCTTTCCTGCCAGTTCTCCAGGAATGGGAGCGATGGAGACACAGGGGGAGAGGATGCTTCTGGTTTCTCTGAAGACATTCTCATATTTGCAAAAATACAAGCTAGAACTTAAAGCTTTAAGAAGCAAAAATGACCCAAAAGGTTCCAGTTCCAAGAGCCCCCACTCGGAACTGTCTGTGGTTGACATTAATTCCTATGACTGTACTGTGACTTTGGGCAGTCAGGCCAGGAGAGGGCTTGGGATACGCCTGGTCGGGCTTGACTTGACTCAAGTGTTCCTGGCAGACAAGGCTGTAGTCTTTGGCTTGCCTAAGAGCTCTGTGTCCATTTGATGCGCTGATATTCTCAGTTACCCATCTTCTAGTGTCGTGGGTGCGTTTCAAAGTGTGGGACTTAGAAATAAGAGAGCCCAGTCGGGCGGTGGTGGTGCACACTTTTAGTCCCAGCACTCAAGAGGCAGAGGCAGGCGGATCTCTGTAAGTTCGAGGCCAGCTTGGTCTACAAGAGCTAGCTCCAGGACAGACTCCAAAGCTACAAAGAAACCCTGTCTCGAAAAACAAACAAATAAACAAAGAATTAAGAGAGCCCAGACCCTGTCCTCATTTTGAAATGAGCCCCTAGCACTGTGGGAGAAACCTTCAGCGGTGACAGAATGCGGCCATGTGTGGCAGGATTCCTTGAGTAAATTAAAGGCGGTTCACAGATTTATCCTTAGGTATTTCTTTCTACAAGAAGACAGAAAACTGGAAGAAGTTTTGGAATGAATTTTTAAGCTCTCAAAAGTCAAGGAGAAGGGCTAATCGCCAATGCATATTCCCTCTATATATACTTAATTTTTACACTAAAAATATTCTTTTCATCTGCCATCCCATTAATAATGTAAGGGAAATAATGTCAATGGATTGTGGGACGGAAGCCAGAAAGTTGCCCTCTGTGGCACTAATGAAACCTATGGAAGCCAGAAAACACCTGATTGCTTAATGAACAGATGTGTGAGACGCTACTGATCCTCAAAATTACAAAAAAAAAAAAAAATCCACCGAGGTTAATTTTTAATATTCAACTGTAATGACAAATTTGTGGGCATTCAGCTAAATGATTATATTACAGCCATTTTAACACTCCTGTCAGAGAACAATGAACTGTGTAAAAACATATATGTGTGTGTCTATACATATGTGTGTGTGTGTGTGTGTGTGTGTGTGTGTGAGAGAGAGAGAGAGAGAGAGAGAGAGAGAGAGAGAGAGAGAGAGAAAAGCCTGAGTCAATCCTGAATGTCATGTGGGGGTCAAGTGACAGCCTTACCCTGAGGCCTCAAAGTTTTCCTTCAGGGTTCTTATCCCCCTTCCCCCAGCCTGGAGCCGCTGGGCTTAGGCTTCTGGCCCAGTGCTGACACCTGGTGGTCAGAACGTGGTCTTCACCCTTCTTTCTGTTCTACCTCCCTCTCTGCCTGGAGTGTTGATTTGGCTTTGGCATGCTTCTTCTCACAAGTCAGTTAGTCATCAAAAGCAGACTTTTTTCCCCCCATTTTCCCAGTAAACAAGTTCACTGGATCTTTTAAACATGCTTTCTTATTTACTACCCTAAGCAGGGCGATGAAATGGACGGTCTTATTTTCTAAGTAAATGAATTGAGTCTTGGGAAGCATACCTTCCCAAGACCCCCTCCTGTCTGATCAGGTGATGCCAAGATGCTGGTCCAGGTCTAGACTTCAAACATTAGGATGCCAGACAAAGTGATAAGCTGGGTGCTGTTGAAGAATTTCTGAAGGCAGCTTCCTAATAATTTAAGATGCAAGGATTATAACTGGATTTATCCTCAGCTGGGGGGATGGGGAGGGAAGCCAAGTAGCCTGGTGTTAAACAGCCTCTTCCCCCAGCTAAAATCTGGCTTTGCCAAGAGAAAACTTCATGGGCTTACTTGGGTGTTCTCAAGTAAAAACTGGAAAGCTGAGATAGTCAGTGATTTGGGGGGTTCTTGAGGACCGCCTAGGACAGTGTCCCTGAAACGCTATGGTCCTTCGGCATTCAGTGAGGAAGAAGTTGTTTACTTAGATGTTCACCAATTCCTTTATCCTGGATACCAAAGCATCGGCTTAGGAATGATTCCATGAGCTAGCTATACGGGTGCAGAGCTCAAGGTAGAGGCAGGAGGCGAGCCTGGACATCATGAGACAGCCTTAAAACACAGATGCACACATAAGCTTGAGCATGCACAGACAGACAGGTGCACACACACACGCTTGCACGCGCACAAACACACACACACACACACACACACTCATCAATTAAGAAAAAATATACCTTCGTCTCCAGGGAGAAATAGAAAACCTGAACTATCCAAATGATGTGGCCCCTAGATACCACGTGCCCGTCTAGACCATCCATCTCCAAATGCTAGATTTTAGTTTAAAAAATCATTCCAGGGGACCTTTGTGAATCAGAAACGATTGGCACTAACATCGCTCCCTTAGCAATATGAAATGGCTGCTGTGTAGAAGAATTAAAGCCGGCTCAAGACCGTCACCTGGAAAGGCCTGCCGACCAGCTTATCTTTGATTGGTGGCGTGATCTTCTTGCCTGGATGATGCGCTTAGTCTGTTTGCACAAACCGTGTGGTTCATGCTAAAAGCCTTCTGAGAGCCTGGAGTTTTAGTCCGACTAAACAGGGGTCAGTCACCTAAGCCACCAGTCCTCATTACACCTCACGGGTGTCCCTGTTAGACGGGACATGGTCTTAGAGACCCCCTACAAAAATCATATCTGTAGTGTTGGAGAAGAGTCTTTTTCTTTTTTAAAGATTTATTTTGTATACCATGTTCTACTGCATGCGTGCCTGCCAGAAGAGGGCACCAGGTCCCTCTCTACAGATGGGTGGGAGCCACCGTGTGGTTGCTGGGAACTGAACTCAGGACCTCTGGAATAGCAGTCAAAACTCTTAACCTCTGAGCCAGCCCTGGAGAAGAGTCTTAGTGGATGCACAAAAGGTTACATAGCGCACGCGCGCGCACACACACACAACTTCACTTTGCTCAAAAACTAAACGTGCAAGCAATTCATCTCATGGCTCACCAGATATCACTTGAGCACATAGCAGATTTCTAGCTCTCTGTCTAGGGATGTGAACAGCAAAGCAAACACAAGGGTCCATGAGGGAATTACCTTCAATTAACGAATTAGATCATAGCTGTTTGCTGGCTGGACAGTAGGAGACATGGCTTTTACTGCTTCATCGGTGGCTCAGAGGCGATGTGAGTTTCGAGAAGAAGAAGGCTTGTATTCCCGGCTCCGATGTTTGCTGCAAGCTGCTTTAGTATTTCGGCTGAACGTGCCGAGAGGGCGAGTTTGCACCAAGGAGAAAGTGGGGTGGGGGGACAGCTCGAGCAAGCCATTAATAGAGCTGGTGCCACATCAGCCGAATGGCAGAGAGCTCGTATGAGCAGAAGCAGAAGATAATATTAGAAAGGGGCTCTGAATAACATTATAGGGTCTGATTTCCCTGCTGAAAGGATAGGATTCAATCCAGGATTCTTGAACTGCCCTGTAATGTGATTAAAGTGGAATTTAAGCTGGCCGGCAGCCTGCTCCTGTCTGGATTCAAGTGGCAATAGATAGATTAGAGACAGGGGGACAAGTGGGAGACTGTGAGAACAGCCTGGGTCTGGTGAGGACCTGAACGTAGGCTTTCCTTGTTGGTCACTGGTAGCTGGGTGGTGATGCAGTGGCTGATGCCTTGAGCCATTGACAGAAGTAGGGAAGTTGAGGAAATGCCCTGTGGTTTGGGTCAAGGGGCATTGTACATAGCTGTAGAAGAACAATTCTCACCCTGTGGGTCTTGACCACCACCGATCGCATTTCAGATATCCTGCATATCAGGTGTTTACATTTTGATTCATAACAGTAGCAGAATTACAGTTATAAAGTAGCAGTGAGATAATTGTATGGTGTGGAGGGGGTCCCCTCATGAGGGTGGCAGCTAGGAAGGTTGAGAACCACTGCTGTAGAAGATATGAAGAGTTGAGTTGTTTGCTTACTATATTACATTTAAGATGACAATGGGCCTTCCAACTGATCAAAGACACAGTTGTTTTGCTATGTGAATTTTTTCTATTCTTGGCCTCTTGGAGCCATACTACCCTGCTTATATTCCTATTCTAATTCCCATACACTGCTTTGTTTGTTTGTAGATGATTACTGAAAATTAATTTTAGAAGGATCTAGACTCTTCTCTGAAGGTTTAATCAGTAAAAAGAAGCAATATGAAGATCTTTATTTTGTATCAGTGATACTAAAAATGGCTAAGGCAAGCGGTTAGGTCTCACCACAGTCAGCAAAATATTTGAAAATACAATGCACTGTTGTAACGGTCCACTCAACCGAAGCCAAGGGGCTGCCTAATAAATTATTTTTGAAGACCTTTCAGAAAAACAGAACATTGTATTATTTGAATCTTTCCAGGCCACTCCTTAGGAAAGCATGTAAATCACTTTTAAAACTTACGAGGTTGTGAGGACATGTTTAATTCTGGCCTATTTGAACAGAGGAACGATAGGAAGCAAATCTCCCTACATAGCTATGATCTCCCAGTTTCCCTTGTCTCCACATGTGTGCATGTGTGTTACATGTGTTTGTGTTGGTAACTACAGAAGTTGGCCAAGCTTCACATGAGCTTGTGGAAAAAACCCATGTGAATTCAGGGAGTGTCCGGGAAGCTAGCGAGCACATCTGCGGATTGGATCTCTGACTCTGTAAA